GATAAATAATTCATTGTCTCCCCTATTGCTTCCTGAGCTTTGGAAGTAAATATCAGAGAGATTGACTGTCAGGGCCTAAAAATGTTAGTCTTTCAGGATTTTCCAAAATTCTCAAGTTGGTGTGACTAGAGATTGAGCTGCCCTGTGTGAGTTCTGGGAGGCTGGCCGTATCCAGGCTTTTAGGCATAATAAAATTTGTGTGCCTTTAATTCTGTATTGGATTTCCTGGTGTGAGAGCTATTTTAAAATGAACTTAAGGAAAAAATGCATATTGAGTCAGAATAAACGAGAGTGCATGTACATCAGGAATCACATTATCTAACTGTGGACTGGCTGGGAGGATCATAGTTTCTTAAAAGAGATATTCTAAGTCGGAATCTTAATGACTCTGGCCATAATATTAAACAGTTGCCATTCATCAGTTACCTCCTGAATTCTGGCTCAGCATTGCAATGGATTACTTTTATCAGTAGCGACTCTATAAAATAGAGGCAGTTTTGTGTATATTTTTCACATTGGAAACTGAGGCTGAGGAGAGATTTGATCCCAGGTGGATCCTGCTCCAAGCCAGCATTCTCTGCAGAGCACAGATTGTCTCTATTAATGTGTCTAGAGCTGACCATTTCTTATCCGTGCCTCAGGGGTATATGATTCCGTAGAAGCATTTTTGACTGGGGATAAGGAAACCCAGTTCCAGTTCTGCATGCTCAGCAGCTGGCCCTGGAAAACATGCCAAGCCACTTGAACCGTTTGTGCTGCTTGTTTCTTTTCCTACTGAGGACATTCTGTTGGCTACATCCATCTCTTAAGGTTTTTATGAGGATAAAATGAGATAATAGCTGGGAAAGTGCAAACGTGAGTGATGCACAAATAAAGGGCTTACGCTATTAAATTTTCGATAATGTTGGGTTATTTTTTGCATTAATGCTCATGTTGTGTTTTGATTGAATTAGAGATCTTTTGGCTGATTCTCTGCCCCTTGCCAGTTTTTGGCCTTGGATCTGCAAGTGTGATTTTCTGACAAAGAGGAAGTTGTCCTGAAACTGTGGATTTAGTGCAGGGTTAAGAGGCACTGTGGCTCAGCCCTTTCTTCCTGTTGGAACCTTGGGATACAGGAAATGGTTTCTTCTCCAGATGTTTCTTGTCCTGTCATCAAACAGTGGATCAGTTTGTACTTATTAATTGTATCTACTCGAGCTCTGTTCAAGACCCTGTGGACCCAAGAATTAAAAGGCCAGCTCAGACATCAGGGTTTGTAATGAAAGGTGGGGAAAGATAGAAACACTTAGGGAGTGGTATGGGCGCATACACACCCCACATGTGTGTGGCTCGCACTGTAATTCCAATCAAGCTGTGGGAATGGTCATCCTGCTCACTTAGCTGGGAACGCCTCATGGAGGAGGCACTGAGGTCTTAACTGGACCTGACATGTCAGGATTTGAACTGGGGCTTCGTGTCTGATTGGTGCTGAAGGAGGTGGTCACAGGTGGGGAGAATAGTACAGGTAAGTGAAAGGAGACAGGGATTTTCTGTGTATATTTGGAGAGGTCTAGAAAATTGCCCTCAGCAGTCAAGGGCAGGAAGGGAGGAAGGAGGAGGTGGAGGCACTCTGTGTGTGTATGGTATGTGTTTCTCAATACGTTAGGGTTGGATCACGTGCAAAAAGACCTAGAAGGCCAGGCCTGAGAGTTGAGGGCAAAGTCATTCAGAATGATGGAAGGTTCTAGAGTAAATGAATGACAGATTAGGGATGGAGGCAGAGAAAGCCCAGAGCAGGAGTCTGGAATCTGGACACCATGTGCAGGCATCTGGGTGGCGAGATTGCTGTGTGAACAGAGAGGGGATTTACTGGAGAGACATCTTTAGGGCAAAGTCCATAGAGTTCAGTGACAGATTAATTAAAGGAATTCAGAGGGAGGAAGAGGAATTAAAGCTAACTGCACTGAAATGTTTTGATTTAGAGGTTACATGATTTTCCTTGCCCAGTTCCAAGATTCTTAGCTCTGCCATAAAATGTGGGTAGTTGACAGCAGCAACTCATTTTCAGAGCTTAAATTATTCAAGTTCATTTATGAATATTTCATTTTTAGCCGGCTAATTGGTCTTGAGGCTCTGAATTATGGATGCAGCAAGCTGGAAGACTAGTTTTGTCACCACTGTGTTTGAGGTTTTCCAAAGCTTTCAGGCCGATTTTATTTATTCCTTGCCGTGGAATTAATTGTGCATTGCTCATCAGTTTAATTCACCCAGATTTGCTGGCTGCCTGCCGGGCAGGGCATCAGGTTAGGTGCTGAGGGGGATAAAGAGTAATCAGGACAGGGACTCTGCCTTCGAGGAGTCTCCAGTCTGGGGGAAGGGGAACTCGTGATGGCTGCTGTACTGCATGCTGCGCTATGCTCGGACGAGTGCGAACACTACGGCTCTGTGTGCTCCATTGTGTCTGTGTGGAGAGAACACTGGGTACCCGCGACACTAAGTTTGCCAGACTCAAGGGCACAGTTCTCCTCAACACGACCAAGTCCGCCCAAGACTCATGATACCAGCCACAAGTTTTGGGGGATCTCTCGGACCACCCTTTCTTCTTTCTTACTACTACAGATTTGGAAGTTCCCTGTGGCCTCCCTCAGCTTTGATAATTTGCTAGGACAACTCACAGAACTCAGGAAAGCCCTGTCCTCATGATTATAATTTGATTATACTCAAAGGACGCAAATCAGAGAGCCAGTTAAGGGAAGAGAGGTATGTGGGCAAAGTCGCAGACTGGGAAGGTTTCCTGATGTGGAGCTTTTGGTCCCTCCTGAGCAAAGCTACCTCTCTCCTAGCTACAATGTAGGCCAGCACTCGGGAGTATTTCTGATCCGGGGAGCTCACTGGAGCTTTGGTATCCCAAGTTTTTACTAGGACCCCATGACACACTGCTCACATGCTGCATTTTAGTCCCTGTCTCTCCTGCAGGTTCTGACTGATGCCTTTAATTTTCCCAAGTCCCCATCATAAATCCCATTATTTGTCTAGTGGCCAAAGTCCCTGGGCAAACAAAGATGCTCCTATCAGGAGGGACATCTGGGGGCCTAGAAATAACCTCCTTGTAGCCAAGGGCAAAGGCCAGACTTCTCTTTGGGTAAAGTTAATTCTTCACTACACAACGGCATCCTGGTAGAGCATTTCAGAGGAGTGGCTTGTGTCTGCGGGATGGCAGAGTCTGTCACTGGGGTTAGACCTGGGCCACAGATTTCAGTCAACTGTTAGGCACCCTGTTTCTGGAATTCCACTGACGTGACATGAGGTGGGTGTTTTATAGCCTCTGTTAATTCTGCTTCTCTGATATTAATTGCTGCTTCAGTAGGTTGTGCAAGTACACATTGGTGTGAAGAATAATAAGGAGAGAAGTTTTAAAGAGTCTGAGGAAAATGATTTGTTCTCACTCTGTACCATCTATTTCTTCCCTCTCTTCTCTTGTGTACGTGGACTGATTCTCCTGGAAACACAGCCTTTGTTCTCCTTGTTTAAATCTGGGGAAGGCTCCCAGGACCTGTGTCCCTTGTTTTATCTGGTTTGCCCTCCTGTCATTAAGTACCTTGTCGTCCCTTGTGCTCCCCTCCCCACCATGCCCCAGAGAGACAGAGTGAAGGCAGGAATCTCGCTGGCTGCTGTGGTGCAGGGCCCTGGTTTGGATCTTTCAGCCGAGGCTGACCCACTCAGCAGTGGCATTGTAGTTCAGTCGAAGCTCTGTTCCAGCAACGGCCCTCCTTTCCCAGCAAATCTCTTGCCTCATTCATGCCCGGTCTCCCTAAGGTCTTGGGAACGCCATACCAAGGCAGGCTCCTTTGTCCAGATTCTCTGTGGTCGGGCTGTTGTGTTCCTGCAGACTCTGCCCCAGACTGTCCTGCCCATCTCTGCTCCCCTCTGCCCCTGTGGCCTCTCTCTCTGATTTGTGAGCACAAGTGACTTACTTAACCTGTCCTCATGGCAGTAGCAGTAAAGTGGCTGGAGTCTTACTGTGCAGAGCCACAGCTTTAGAGAGAGCAGGAAGGGACCTGAGAGACATCCTGATGCTGCAGATGCATGTGTACTCAAGATGGTGTGAGAATCTAGGACTCCTTTCTCTGCCTTAATGCTCAGGTTCAAAGAGGGTTGCTGAAATGTCACACCTTCGCCAGACAGATGGCTGGCATTGGAGATGTTAGCTAGGCTGCTGGGTCTCTGGTTGGCCTTGCTCAGGGACATCACTCAAGTCTCATCTTTGAAGACCATAACCCTCCACCTTCACACAATGGGATGAAATGCTTTCCTCCCTGCCCTGCCCATCCCTCTTAATTCCTACCTTCATTCCAGAGATGAATGCCTTAAAAATTAACACTAATTGAGAAGAAATACAAGTTGTAAAATGATTTTAAACTTTCTCTAAAGCAGCTGTGATCATGCCATTGAAAATCACTAGGTCGCTAGGAAACTGTAAAAATATTGTTATTGTTCTTAGTCCTATAATTTATGGCTTTAGATTGTAATTACTTTTTTTTCTTGCTGGGACAATTTGACTCTAACAATTATGACTCCTTGAAATAATCTGAATAGTTGTGTAACTCATTAAAGGCATGACAAGCTCAGAAGCCTTTGAGAACCCTTTGGAAAGAAGTCCCTAAGCAGTTTCTGAGAACTGGATTTCAGTGGAAGCAGTGCTTCACAAGGGGCAGGATTAAATAGGGAGTTGACAGCTACAACTTCAAATCCTCCCAGCATTGTTGAAGAAGGATGTACAGAGATGCTGATAAACTGATTGCCTTGAATCAGAACATTAGAAAATTGTTTACCCACTGGTACACAGATGCAATGATATTAGTACCAAAGATAATTGTTTGCACTGTTAATTTGAATCACCTCAAATTTTTCATTTTTAATAAAATACGAAACCTGAACACAGCCTCACACTTGGAGGGTGAACGTGAGCCCTGCACTGCTATCTCACGTGACTCCACTGTGCCTTCTTGTTTCCTCGGTAGAGTTTTTGGTCATGAAGAGGAAGAGAGGCAGGCCTAAGGGGTCCACGAAGAAGCCCAGCACTGAAGAGGAACTGGCAGAAAACATCGTGAGTCCAACGGAGGACAGCCCGCTGGCTCTGGAGGAAGGGAACAGCCTGCCTCCAAGCAGCCTGGAGTGCAGCAAGTGCTGTCGAAAGTTCTCCAACACGCGCCAGCTGCGGAAGCACATCTGCATTATCGTGCTGAATTTGGGTGAGGAGGAAGGAGAAGCAGGTAAATGCTGCCAAAGGGCTGTACGTGTCAATTTCCTATGAAGAGGTGTATCTGCTAATACCAGGTTTCACTGGGTTGGTTATTACTTGGAAATAGCGTATATTTATTCAGGTCTCACCCATCTGGAAAAGTGCTTATTTTCCTGATGATGACTGACTATTGCTGTAGGTAATCTTTGAAGTGATGTGTCTTCTGGGATTTGATGCCCATGGCATGCAGGTCAGGGGGCTGCTTTGCTAGATGCTTTGAGGGCTGCAGGGATGGTAAAACGCAGCTTCTACCTTTGCTGAGCCTCTGTTCTGGGAAAGAAGACAAGGTTTTAAATGCATCGTGTTAATGGGTAACAAATTGCCAGCAGGAGAAAGCATTCTGATGGAAAGTCAGGAACGAAGCTGGTGTCACAGTTTGGGTGGCATTGAGTTAAAGGAAGGAGGGACGTCTTAGTGGATGGATGGGGCCATGTGGGCTGAAGTGTGGAGATGAGGATCCTCAGGGCTCCTGTGAGGGACCTTGATTGGCCGGCAGTGGCTGAGGACTAGATTTTGGTGGGCGTCCTTGAGGAAAATAAAGACTATCGGGTGCTTCCTTCAGATATGTTCTTGACTAGGCTTCAGCTCTGAAGCAGCTTCTGAAAGAGGCTGTAATGCAGATGAATGTGAGCAGAGAATGAAGTCACTGTGGGGTAGCTTGTCTGCAGATGACCTTCGCAGGAAGAATGAGATAGCAAGGCTGTACCAGAGCGGCGAGGGCCTCTGCTGTGGTTTCTGTTGTTGGGTCCTTGTGCCATTTTTAAAGCCTTCAAACTGTAAACCGTGTTAAGTTCTCTCTGTTTTGTTTTGTGCTAAGCGTGTTATGCGGTTCTCATTAAGAACATAGGCTCTGGGTTGTGGCCGTCTGGGCTTGTATCCCAGCTTCAGCGCTTATTAACTTTATTTTGCCTCAGTTTCCTCATCTGTAAAATCGGAATAAAAGCAGTACTGTCTCCTATGGTTACTTTGAAGATGAAATGAGATAGGACTTGTAAAATACTTATGGCAGTACCTGCTGTATCAAAAGCTCCGAGTAAATGCCAGCTATTACAGGGAACCGCTCATAGCCACATGGATCCAGTACTGCTGTCATCCTTCCTGCTTCATGGATAAGGGTGTTTAGACCCTGAGAGAGTGAGTGATTTGTCTAGGGTCCTTTAGTTAGTAAGAGGACCTGGCCTTTGAACTCAGGCCATCCTATTCTGAACCCCTATTCTTAAATTCTTCACTATAAATGCCTCCCTACAATGTGCAAGACTCTTGGTTTGCAAAATCCTATCATAGTTCGAATGAATTACTGAGTAATGCATCGACAAATATTTATGGAACATCTAGGTTGGTGGCCAAGGCTCATTGCCAACATCTATACAAGTTGTAGAAAATACCAGACACTGTTCCCTCTCATTAAGAACTCTCAAGGCAATGATGTAAAACCTTGCGGGGTTGCACAGGCTCATGAAAATAACCCATGAGGATCAAAGGAGGTGGAGCTGTCCCTAGATGGAGCCTGAGTAATTGCCGTGTGAGAGCCGTAGGCCATGAATGCTGTCATTTCAGAATAATCCGCATCATGTTTCAGAACCTAAAGTCCTTTTGGGAAATAAAGACAATTTTAGAAATGAGATGGCTGAAAGAGGAAGGATTAGGATGGACCTCCCCTGAACCTGAAGTTCTGATTTCCAGTGATTTGTTAATCACCGGATTTGGGTTATGGAGTCTTTCCGCCACCCTCTTGTGCGTGCATGCACACTCTCTTGCTATCTCTCTCTTTCTCTCTCTCCCCCACCCCGTCTTCCCCCCACCCCATCTCTCTCTCTGTCTCACATGTACACACATGCACGCCCCCTATTTTGGCACAGCTAGGTGATGGTGTTGCATTTTAATCAGTTTTAGCTGTCGAGGCAGCTCTGCTGTTTGTAGTTTCTGCACTGCCTGAGTCCTTCAGAGATTCTCTCTGGTCATTTTGTTCTGTCTTCTCGAGAATCCCTTTTTGTCTGTGTCTTTACAGGGTTTTTCTTGTCAGGCTTCCTCTGAGACACTCCTGGATTTTCTGCATAATTATGACTAGAAATCAAAGACTTTGCTCTTTTGCAACACCAAATTTTTCTGCTTCTCATTCCTCCAGACCTCAGGTTGAGCTCTGAGTTTGAGGCTCACCATCAACAGCACAGACCCTGGAGGCTCAGAACTTTATTTGGATCTGTGTCTGTTTCCCAGTCTGTACTGCTGTGAGGGTCAGCTCTCTGAAACAGGGGTCCCCAACCCCTGGCTGCAGGCTGGTACTGGTCTGTGGCCTGTTAAGAAGCCAGCTGTACAGCAGGAGGTGAGTGGTTGGGCAGCGAGCATTACTACCCGTGCTCTGCCTCCTGTCAGATCAGCTGCGGCATTAGCTTCTCACAGGAGCATGAGCCCTATTGTAAACTGCGCATGCAAGGGAGCTAGGTTGCAATGGTCCTTATGAGACTCTAATGCCTGGTGATCTGAGGTGGGGCGGTTTCATCTTGAGAAAATGTGGGAGCCCACTGCTCTAAAACACCATGCCTTAGTGCCTCCCCATCACAGCAGCGTGCAGAGCCATCCCCTGCATGTTCAAGGCCCCACCAAAACCGTCTTTCCACGTGGCATCGTTTTTCAGTGCTATAAAGTATTCTGTTGTTTGTACCGACCAGGTTACAATTGATGAAAACTTAAGTTTTCATCAATTTTTCACTGTTGTAAATATTGCTTTAATAACTATTCCTATATGGGGTGTGTATGTGTTAGTATATATACATGTTGGTAGACTTGTGTTATGATTTTTGTAGGATAAATTTCTAGAAGCAGATTGTTGGGTTGGAAAGTGTATTAATATTGCCAAATTTCTCCCCAGAAAGCTCACGTCAACTTAGATTCCAAAGTGTCTGAGAATGCCTGTTGGATATTATCTCTTTTGTTTGTTTTAGTTTTTAATACCTGTAATGAAACGGAAAATACTAAGAAAGTAAAAATATTCCAAAATTTCACTACCTGGGGACAATGACTGCTACACTTTCTGAAAAAGAGAAGGCCCTCCTCCATTCTGTGTTTACTCATATGTATTTTTCAGAACTGAGACAATACATAATATTCTGTGATCTTTTTTCACTCACTAATGTGGCAGATAAATTTTTCATGATAATATTTTTTATTTAACAAGCTGTTTTCTAGCGTTTTTTCCCTAGCATTCTCAGTGTTTTACAACTGAATAGCCACTTTAATTCTCATGGTAAATTAAGAGGTAGGCACCGTTTTTTTTTTTTTTTTTTTTTTTGGAGACAGAGTTTTGCCCTTATTGGCCAGGCTGGAGTGCAATGGTGCATTCTTGGCTCATTGCAATCTCTGCCTCCCAGATTCAAGTGATTCTTCTGCCTCAGCCTCTCGAGTAGCTGGGATTACAGGCATCTGCCACCACACCCAGCTAATTTTTTGTATTTTTAGTAGAGACAGGGTTTCATCACATTGGCCAGGCCGGTCTCGAACTCCCGACCTCAGGTGATCCACCCATCTCAGCCTCCCGAAGTATTGGGATTACAGGCATGAGCCACTGTGGCTGGTCAAGGTAGGCACTATTGTTATTCCCATTTCATAGAAGAAGAAACTAAGGCACAGATAGTTTCAGCCCATAAGTGGTGGAGTTGGTTGTGAACCAGGTGGGCTGGCCCCAGGGTCTGTGCTTTTGACTGCTTTCCTGTGTGGTCTTATCCAAAACAGTGTTGCTTGTTGTCATTTTAAAAGGCTGTACAGCATTTCTTCATAAGCATGGGCATACATCATTTTACTTCATTGGTCTCTACTTGATGGGCTTTTAAAATGGTTTTAAAATTTTCTCTCTGAAATTCCAAAAAAACCCACTATTCAGGTGAACAGTCCTGAGCATGCGTTTTAAGTTTTTTATTATTTTTAGCACTTGCGCCATTGTTGTCTTAAATAAATGACTAATAATTTAATGCTTGTTAATTTTTTAACGAGCTGTTTTTTTACTGCTTTTTGCCTTGCAGTTGCTGTTTCTCAGTATTTTATAGCTAATCTCTTTTAAATTTTCATAGCAGCTTAAGAGGTAGGCACTACTGTTATTCCTATTCTATAGAAGAGGGAACTGAGGGACAGATCGTTTCAGCAGTGTGCTTGGATAGATCACATAGTCTGTAAGTGTGTCTTTTAGTTTTTTTTGTAGCTTTGCTTTTTTTTCTTTGGCATTAGTAAAATGCAAATAGGGCATATGTTACATTTTGACACGCATATATATTGTCAGACTGCCCTGTAGAATGTGCATATCAATTATTTTTCCATCATGGGCTATGTCCTCAGATCACCTGTATCCTTTTTATCCTGGGTTGTGTCAGCCCCTATCCTTACCAGTCTTTTTTGTGAATAGTTCACTTTAATTGTTTTAATTTGCCCCTCTTTGGTCACTAGTACATTATATCTGTTACCTAGTTATTAGTTATTTGTGTTTTTTGTGTGATCGGAGAATTCCTTTTTTATGCACTTATACCTTTGAATTATCATATATGCTGAAAATATTTTCTCCAATTTGTCATTTGTCTTTTAATTTTCTTTGTAGCATTGCTTTTTTTCCTTTTGAATTTTGCTGGAGTTTTAAATTTCAGTATTGTTACCGCTGTTTGTATGGTATTGTCAAATGTATCTTTTATGTTTTTTGCCCTTTTTATTGTAGTTTACAAAATTTACCTCACATCCCCCTCAATTTAAAAGAATATGCTTCTATTTCTCTGTTATCTGTATGGTTTTATTTTATGCATATTTTTGATTTATTTGGACATTGTATTTTTGTTTTCTGTAAGTTGTGAAGTAAGGCAGCTCTATAGTTGACTTTTTAACAACGTGGGGTTTAAAGGCACCATCCCACCATCAACAGTTATATTCAAGTATAACTTTTGACTCTCTACAAACTTAACTACTAATAGCCTATTGTTGATTAGAAGCCTTACC